TTCTTTTTTTGTTTGTTTTGTTAATCCCTCACGATATTTTTTTCCCATTGATTTATTTTTATACTTGAAACATGTATTTACATTATCATATTGCTTGTTTTTTTCTTTTAAACAATCAATTTAATATAGTATATTATTTTGATAGATCTCCTAATATAAAAGCATCTCCAAAGTACTAGATTAAATTTTACTTGTCTTGAGATAGTATCCTTTATTATACTCTGGATTCAATTTTTGACATTTTATTTAGAATTTTAAAAATCTATATTCTTAAGAGATGTCTGAGATTTTGCTGCCTATGGTTTCTTCTAGGATTTTTATGGTTTCATGACTTACATTTAAGTCTTTTATCTATTTTGAGTTTATTCTTGTGTATGGTGTAAGTTGGTGGTCTAGTTTCATTTTTTTCTGCAGGTGTCTGTCCAATTTTCCCAACACCATTTATTGAAGAGACTCACTTGACTCCATTGTATGCTCTTGCCTCCTTTGTCAAATATTAATTGACCATAATGGCTTAGGTCGATTTCTGGGTTCTCTGTTCTGTTCAACTGATTTATATGCCTGTTCTTGTACCATTATCAGGCTGTTTTGATTATGATAGCTTTGTAGTACCGTATAACTTGAAATCTGGTATTGTTGATTCCTCCAATTTTGTTCTTTCTCAAGGTTGCTGCAGCTATTCAGGATCTTTTTTGGTTCCATATAAATTTTTGGAGTATTTGTTCTAGATCTGTGAATTATGCTGTTGGTATTTTAATAGGGATTGCATTGAATCTGTAGATTGCCTTGGATAGTATGGACATTTTAATGATGTTGATTCTACCAATCCATGAACACGGTATATTCTTCCACTTGTTTATATCTTCTCTTATCTCTTTTTTCAATTTCCTGTAGTTTCTGAGAACAGCTCTTTTGCCTCCTGGGTTAAGTTTATTTCTAGGTACCTTAATTTTTTTGTTGCAATGGCAAATGGGATTGTTAGTTTAGTTTCTCTTTCTGATAATTCATTATTGGTGTATAACAGAGCCATCAATTTTTGGCTGTTGATTTGGTATCCTGCTACATTGCCAAATTCATTTATTATATCTAGTAGTTCTTTTGGTGGAGTCTTTAAGTTTTCTATGTACAATATCATATGATCTGTGAATAATGAGGGTTTTACTTCTTCCTTTCCAATTTGGATGCCTTTTATTTTTTCTTGTCTGATGCTGTGGCTAGCACTTCCAGTACTATGTTGAATAAGAGTGGCGAAAGCAGACATCCCTGTCTTGTTCCTGTTCTTAGGGGAAATGGTTTTGGTTTTGTCCATTGAGTATGGTGTTGGCTGTAGGTTTGTCATATATAGCCTTTATCATGTTGAGATATGCTCCCTCTATTCCCACTTTGCAGAGAGTTTTTATAAAAAATGGGATTTTGGCCCTGGCTGGTTTGGCTCAATGGATAGAGCATCGGCCTGCAGACTCAAGGGTCGCAGGTTCAATTCCGGTCAAGGGCATGTACCTTGGTTGCAGGCACATACCCAATAGGGAGTGTGCAGGAGGCAGCTGATTGATGTTTCTCTCTCAGCGATGTTTCTAACTCTCTATCCCTCTCCCTTCTTCTCTGTAAGAAATCAATAAAATATATATTAAAAAAATGGGATTTTGTCAAATGCTTTTTTTGCCTCTGTTGATATAATCATGTGATTTTTGTCTTTCAATTTGTTTATGTAATATATCATGTTTATTGATTTGCAAATATTGTACCAGCTTTGCATACCTGGAATAAATCCCACTTGGTCATGGTGTATGATCTTTTTAATATATTGCTGGATCTGATTTACTAATATTTTGTTGAGGATTTTAGCATCTATGTTCTTCAGGGATATTGGCCTGTAATTCTCTTTCTTTGTGGTGTCTTTATCTGGTTTTGGAATTAGGATAATGCTAACCTCATAAAAAGAGCTTGGAAGTGTTCCTTCCTCTTGGACTTTTGGGAATAGTTTGAGGAGTATAGGTGTTAGTTTTTCTTTGAATGTTTGATAAAATTTCCTTGTGAAGCCATTCAGACCGAACTTTTGGTTGCTTGGAGTTTTTTTATTTTTTGATTACCGCTTCTATTTCATCAGTTGTTATTGGCCTATTCAGGTTTTCTGATGCTCCCTAATTCAGTTTTTGGGAGATTGTATTTTTCTAGGAATTTGTCCATGTCATCCACATTGGCCAGCTTGTTGGCATATAGTGGTTCATAGTATTTTCTTGCAATCCTTTGTATTTCTGTGGTATCAGTGGTTACTTCTTCGCTTTCATTTCTTATTTTATTTATTTGGGTCCTCTCTCTTTGTTTCTTGATGAGTCTGGCTAATAGTTCACCAAATTTGTTTAAGCTTTCAAAGAACCAGCTCTTGGTTTCATTGATTTTTTTCTATTGCTTTTTTAGTCTCTCTGTCATTTATTTTTGCTCTAATCTTTATTATTTCCTTCCTTCTACTTCCTCTAGGCTTTTCTTGTTGCTCTCTTTCTAATTCTTTAAGTTGTAGGTTTAAATAGTTTATTATTAATTTTTCTTGTTTTTTTGAGGTAGGCCTATAATGCTATGAACTTCCCTGTCAGGACTGTTTTTGCTGTGTCCCAGAGATTTTGGATTTTTGTGTGTTCATTTTAATTTGTTTTCATGAAGTTTTTGAATTCTTTCTTGATGTTGTTGGTAACCTATTCATTGCTTACTAACATGCTATTTAGCCTCCATGTGTTTGAATGTTTTTGGGTGTTTTTACTAAAGTTGATTTCTAATTTAATTCCACTGTGATTTGAAAATATGCTTGAAATGATTTCAATCTTCTTGAACTTGTAGAGACTTGATTTGTGTCCTAACATGTGGTCTATTTTTGTGAATGACCCATGTGCACTTGAGAATAATATATATTCTGCTGTGTTGGGGTGAAATGTTTTATAAATGTCTATTAAATTCATCTGATCCAGTGTGTCCTTTAGAGTCAGTTTCCTTGTTAAGTTTTTGTCTGGAAGATCTGTCCAGTGAAGTCACTGGAGTGTTTAAGTCCCCTACTATGACTATATTGTTGTCAATCTCTCTCTTAAAGTCCTCTGGAAGATTTTTTATATATTTAGGTGCCCCTATATTGGATGCATATATGTTTTCCAGGGTTATATCCTCTTGTTGGGTTGATCCTGTTAGTATTATGTAGTGACCTCTGTTGTCTCTTGTGATGGCCTTCATTTTGAAGTCTATCTTATTGGATATAAGTATTGCTACTGCAGCTTTCTTTTCTTTTCCATTTGCATGAAAACATTTTTTCCATCCCTTCACTCTCATCTTGTGTGTCTTTTGTTCTGAGATGGGTCTCTTGCAGACAGCATATAGTTGGGTCATGTTGTCCTATCTATTCCGCTACCTTATACCTTTCGATGGGAGCAACCTTAATAACATTTAAGGTTGTTATTAATACATACTTATTCATTGCCATTTTAATTCTGTATGCTTAGGTTTCTCTCTCCATTTCTTCTCATTACAGCAGTCTCTTTAGCATTTCTTGTAATGTTGGCTTGGTGTACTGCTTTTGCCCGCCCCCCCCCCCCCCTTTTTTTTTTTTTTTTGGTCTGGGAACCTCTTTATTTGACCATCCATTTTGAATGATAGTCTTGCTGGATATAGTAATCTTGGTTTTAGATCCTTGCTTTCCATTACCTTGAGTACTTCATGCCATTCCCTTCTGGCCTGTAGAGTTTCTGATGAGAAATCAGGTGTCAGCCTTATGGGAGCTTCTTTGTAGGTAACAGTTTGCTTTTCTCTTGCTGCCTTTAAGATTCCCTCTTTGTCTTTAGTTTTTGCCATTTTAATTATGATGTGTTTGGGCATGGGCCTATTTGGGTTCTCCTTGCTTGGGGTTCTCTGTACCTCCTGAACTTGTGTGACTTTTTCCTTTGCCAGGTTAGGGAAGTTTTCTACCATCATTTCTTCAACTACTGTTCTCTCTGCCTTTCTCCCTTTCTGCCTCTTCTGGCATACCTGCTATTTGAATATTGTTACATTTCACATTGTCCTGCAGCTCCCTTAAGCTGTCTTCCTGTTTTTTAATTGTCTTTTCTTTTTGGTTCTCTGATTGAGTGATTTTTTTCAACCCTGTCTTCTAATTCACTGATTCAATCCTCGGCTTTCCCTTATCTGCTGTGTATTCCTTCCAATGTGTACTTTATTTGTGCTATGTCATTCTTTATTTCTTTTTTCATGGTTACTATATCTTTTCTCATAATGTTGAGCATCTTTACCATCATTACTCTGAACTCTATATCAGATACATTTCTTTTTTTAAAAAAATATATTTTATTGATTTTTTTTTTTTTACAGAGAGGAAGGGAGAGGGATAGAGTTAGAAACATTGATGAGAGAGAAACATGGATCAGCCGCCTCCTGCACACTCCCTACTGGGGATGTGCCTGCAACCAAGGTACATGCCCTTGACCGGAATCGAACCTGGGACCCTTGAGTCTGTGGGCCAATGCTCTATCCACTGAGCCAAACCTGTTAGGGCCAGGTACATTTCTTATCTCATATTTCCTTTATCTCTTCTTCAGGAGAATTCTCTTGTTCTTTCACTTGGGTGTTGTTTCTTTGTCTCTTCATTTTGGCTACCTATTTGGGTGTGTGACTCTCTATAGGTAGATCTGCTATGTCTCTCAATCTCCAGTGCAGGACAGTGTCAAATGCTGTTTCTGACTAATTAGATCAGGCAAAGACTAAAAGCCTCCAGAGACTGCCTCTGTCTACAGACTGATAGGATTCTGTGTTGAATTACCCTCAAGAAAATGTCCACAGGTGTGGCAAGAATTTTTTTTCAACAGGGTAGGGCAATTGCTTCTGTCTGGAGGCTAATTATTATTCTTAGTCTCTTAATGGGTCTGAGAAATTCTGCATGGTGGGGCAAGGTGTTTTCCAATAGGTTGGGTCAACAGTCTCCCCCTTTGCCCCCCAGGCAAATCCACCTGGATAGCAAATGTCTGTGTGAAAAAGATGACCTCCACAGTGTGAAGGAGTGATTCAGCACAGGAAACTGGGGTGTCTTCCTTCTGAGCTCTGACCCCAGAGCCCCAGAATCTGGCTTCTGCTCACACAGCTCCAGTCCACTCTGCCTTCCCTCTGCCAAAGCACAAGGTGAGTGGCTCCACAGGGAATTTTGTGCATTGGCCCTTTAAGAGGGTGCCTGAATTTCCAGCTGTCTCTCCCTGGAAGATAGCAACCCCACTGCTTTTTACAGCCAGAAGTTATGTGGGTACCCTTCTCAGTTCTGATGCTCTCTGTTGGGTGCGCAGCCTGGGTATTAGATCTCAGAGTTCTCAGTGGCAACCCCCCAAAGCTGAAATATTTCTCCGGAACTTCAGTTTCTGTCTGTGGGAGCCTGGCCAGCCCATTTGTGTGCCTCTGCCCGCCCACCAGCCTCTGTGCGGTCTCCACTTTCAGTCCTTGGTTATCAGGGTTCTCTCCAGTGAGTCATCAGTTGATTATTCATGAAGTTTTTCAGTAGTTTATTTGTAATTCCGGTTTGGTCCTGGGAGTGTGCCTGTGCAGCATCCACTTACTCCACCGCCATTTTTAATCTCTAGAATTTCATTCATTTTTAAGGCTGAATAATATTATGTTGAAAGTATATACCACATTTTGTTCCTCCAGTTATCTGTTGGTGGACATTGGGTTTATTTGTACCTTTTGGCTATTGTTACAAGTGCTATGAACACTGGTGTATGAGCCGTGGTTCAAGTCCCTGCTTTCATTTCTTTTGGGGGTGTACTTAGAATCGAGATTGCTGCATCATATGGTGATTCTATGTGTACATTTTTGAGAAACTGCCAACTTGTTTTTTTGCAACAGCTGCATCATTTTACATTCCCACTGACAATATACAGGGTTTCTATTTCTCCACATCCTCACCAACATTTGTGATTATCTGGGAGGTCATATGAACATTTTTGGGAAACTTTCTCAGGCACCCACCTTTGGAAACAAAAATGGCAGCAAAATTGGGGTATTCTTTGAAAATAAGATGACTCAGTCCTGATAGAATCTGTTTGCATGGTCACTTTCCCAAAATCTTCAAACCTCCCCCAACTCCTGGACAAACAGTTTCTTCTACCTGGATCCTTGTCCACTGTGGCCTGGAAAATCCCTTCAAATGCCAGCTCAGCTTCTCCTCAGAGAAGTCTTCTCTAGCTTGTCCAGGTCAAGGTGCCATCCTTCCCTTGGTACCAGGCTGACCTTTTCCCACATGACAGGATAGTGACTGAATGCATCTGTTTCTTCCATATTAGGAGCTCCCCGATGACCATGCTGGAGAGAGATCTTCTCAATGTCCTCATGGCACAGGATAGGTCATGGAACATTATAAGTCCTCAGTAAATCTTTGTCCTCTGAGGGAACAATGGTCTTGATAGTCAGTGTAGGCCCAGGGCGAGCACTGCAATGGGGTTCTCCAATATCTGCTCATGTGCACAGTGCCACATGGTGGGTGCTGTGGCTGCAAGTTCTGTCACCAGCAAATGATGTCACTGAGAGTGAAACTCAGCTAGGGTTATGTGTCCTAAGAGTGGGAGGTTTTTATAACCATCCTTACTCTGCTACTGGGTTTCTCTTTGTGAAGAGTCAGTGGACAGGTTGAGATGGAAAGAGTGATGACTCACAGGTGCAAGAGCCGAGCTCACCCTTAGGAAGAAGGTCCTAGAGTTGGGGCGGGGGGAGGCTATGGAGGACCAAGCTCTGGAATGTCCTGTGGAGGCAATCCTTGCCAGTGTGGCGATGCCAACAGGATGGGGTTCATTCATCATCATCATCATCGTCATCGTCATTGTTGTTATCATCATTACTACCGTTTCTACCACCACAATGGCTCTGGTAGCTGAGCATTCTGCTACTAAGACAGGTATTACTGTCTTCACAGAAGTTGATTGCTGAAGAGTGACTTGGTGGGGCCAAGACCCCAGCCAAAGTCAATCTGACTCTGAATCTCTGTCCACTACCTCATAACCAGCAGCTTCACCCTGCCCGCTGTGGATGGCAATCCTGTGCCCCACAATACTCCCGGCTCTGATGACTATGCCCTGGGTGAAGAAAACCACTGACTGGGATAAAGGTCCAGCCCATGACCCAAAGCAGGGTCCAGTCCTCCCAGCTGGGGCTGAGACCATGCTCTTGGCCTTGCTGATCAGCAGTCATGATGCAGGAGGCTGGAGAAAAGGGCAGCAGCCCCAGGTTCCTGGGGTACAGGCTGCTGCGGTGAATGAGCTCTCCCCTCTGGCCCCTCAGAGGCCAACAAAGCTCAGCTCACCCAGTAGGCCATTGGCCAGAAAGAAACAGAAGCTGTGCATCTCAATTGCCGTCTGTTCCAAGGGCAGCCTGTGCATGAAGCCAGTGTATGGAGCTGGTGCCTGTGTGGCAGACAGAAAGAGGCAAGCGAGAGAGGCCTCTGCTCACCTCTGAGATGCTGGCCACTGGCCACAGGACACCGGAATGGCTGGTAGGTCTGATCTCACTCCAGCTTTGCTGAACACAAACCTGGAATCAGTTTAAGTACATGAGCCACTTGATGACGGAAATAGGTCTGAGAAACGCATCTGCAGGTGATTTCATCATGCAAACATCATAGACTGCACTTAGAAACCTGGATGGTTTAGCCTACCGCACACCTAGGCTGTATGGTATTGTTATGTGAGGCACAGCTGTGTGTTAAGGAAAGGAAGTGTCAATCCAAAGTGGAGTCCCCCCAGGACAGCAAATCAAGACTTAATTGCAGTTTCAGCTCCTCCTCCAAATGACCTCAAACCAGTCAGTCTGGATTTCCTGATTAACATTTGTGAGATAAACTGCCTAAGACCTCTGCCCACCTTCCCCCAAGATAGGTGCCCTGGTCTGAAACCATCCTTTCTTTTCTTGGCAATAACTTTCCCATCCTGCCCCGTTTCCGCCCATAAAAACTTCCATTTTGCACAACCAGTTCGGTCTTTAAATTTACTCAGTTCAAGTTTTGTTTTTTAACAAACCAATATCTGTTTATATTTGGAAGTCCCTGTCCATCATTTCATGTTTTATCATATGACCAGACGACAAAGGAAAGGGTCTGTTCAGCGGCATCCTGGGGCTAAGCTCGCACCAGCTCACAAGGGCAACTGTTAAACTTGTAGGAATTTTGTGAGCTGACCGTTACACCTATCCATTACAAGTACATTACAAAGCTGACAACTAGATAAATGATATTGAAAACAAAGGCAATACATCTACCACTTCCTAATTTTTGAATGTTTGTTTGGAATTTTTGCCATGCCTGTCTCTCCAGGATATTTACTCTTGCATATGGGCTCTTGATACAATGATGCGCTACGGCACATCCTGGAACTCTACAAACATAGATCTGGTCTTTGTCTTCTGCATGGGAGCCCCTAAAACTCTTGGCATTTCCTCAGTGACAGGAATGACTTGTTATTCATAAAGGGCCCCTGTGATACTGTGGGGGTCATGCTGGTGAGGTGACGAGGGTGGAGCCGATGAAAAACTTAGGAGGGGGCTGGTCACCAGAAAGACCAGCTGGTTAGAGGGTTGGAATGCTCAGGAGGGGAGGAAGAGGGCTAGAGATTGCGCTCCATGAAAACGCTCAAAAGTGAGACTAAGAGAGCTCCTGGGTGGCGAACATCCTCCCCATGATGCCCTCCATGGGCTGTCCCTGAAGTGTATCCTTTATAATAAACTGTTGAACATAGTGAAGTGTTTTCCTGAGTCCTGTGAGCCATTCTAGCAACTTACTGAACCTAATGAGGGGATGTGGAAACCCCAATTTTTAGTCAGCTAGGCAGAAGTGTGGGTGGCTGTGTTCCTCATTTGCAGCTGGCATCTGTAATGTGGGCCATCTTGTAGGACTGAGCCCTTTACCTTGTAGGATCTGTCTCTAATTCTGGATAGTGTCAGAACTTTATTGAATTGTTGGACTCCCAGGTGTTGAAGAATCAGAGAATTGGAGGTGTAGGGGGTCTCAGAGAGACACACCGGAGTTCCTGTCACAGCTCACAAGGAAACAAACATCTCTCTCGCAGAATTCATCTCACCCAGGCTCCCACGACCAGGAAGAGGGCGGAATTGTGATTCTGCCTTAGAGAGAAGACACATTTTTTGTTGTTGTTGTTGTTGTTAATCCTCAGCCGGGGATATTTTTCCATTGATTTTTAGAGAGAGTGGAAGGGAGAGGGAGAGGCACATTGATTGGTTGCCTCCTGCACACACCCTGACCAGGGCAGGAGAACCTGCAACTGAGGTACATGTCCTTGACCAGAATTGAATTCAGGACCTTTCAGTCTGCAGGCTAACGCTCTATCCACTGACCCAAACTGGCTAGAGTGAGAGGACAGATCTTTTTTTTTTTTTTAATTCTTTATTAGTTAAGGTATTACAAATGTGTCCTTATCCCCCCCATTTACCACCTCCCCCCGCCTCATGTTCTCATCCCCCTGTTGTCCATGTCCATTGGTTTGGCTTATATGCATGCATACAAGTCCTTTGGTTGATCTCTTCCCCTTACCCCCTCCCTCCCCTACTTTCCCTCTGGGGAGTGATAGTCTGATCGCTGTTTCTCTGTCTTTGGATCTGTCCCTGTTTATCAGTCTATGTTGTTCTCTATAATCCACAAATGAGTAAGATCATGTGGTATTTATCTTTCTCTGACTGGCTTATTTCACTTAGCATAATGCTCTCCAGTTCCATCCATGCTGTTGCAAAAGGCAAGAGTTCCTTCTTTTTTACTGCAGCATAGTATTCCATTGTGTAGATGTATCACAGTTTTCTAATCCACTCATCTGCTGATGGGCACTTAGGCTGTTTCCAAATCTTAGCTATGGTGAATTGTGCTGCTATGAACATAGGGGTGCATATAGCCTTTCTGATTGGTGTTTCTGGTTTCTTGGGATATATTCCTAGAAGTGGGATCACTGGGTCAAATGGGAGTTCCATTTTTAGTTTTTTGAGGAAACTCCATACTGTTCTTCACAGTGGCTGCACCAGTCTGCATTCCCACCAGCAGTGCAGAAGGGTTCCTTTTTCTCCACATCCTCTCCAACACTTGTTGTTTGTTGATTGAGAGGACAGATCTTAAAAACGGAAACTTCAAGCAGTCACAAAACATGTTCAGGAACATTCCACTAGGCAGCAGAGAGCCCAGGTTTGAGACTAGCCAGTTTTATTTTCAGCCTGAACATCATCACCATGCCTTACCAACTCACTCCCCTTAGTTTTGAACTGCTTGGTTTGCAGAACCAGAAACCCAGTCCAACGAGCTTCCACACAGATCTAAGGGTTCAGGGGTGTCTCACAGAGCCATGGGGCAGAAGGTGTGCCCAAGCTTGTCATGCCCAGAACCAAGCCTGGATATGGTCAGGAGCCTCCCATCCCTGGGGGTACATGACCCCTCCTCTCTTGATCCTCTCTTGATCCTCTCTGAGTCTGTCTTGGTCTCTGACACACACTGTCCTTCTCTGCTCCAGAGACAAGGCAAGACATAGACTCATTTATTAGGTATGTCCCTAGTAGAAATCGAGTAGAAGGGTCAAGTTGGATGGACTAAATATCTAAGAGTGAGAAAATTCTGAAAACATGCTTGATTTCCACTGCAGGTCTACCATTTACTAGAGGGATCTCCTTGAGCATGTTACTTAACTTTGCCAACAAAATGATGAGAAAAATAGCACTTACTTCCCAGGGTTAGTGTGAGGATTAAATAAGTTACTACATGCAGACATTTAGAACAGAACCTGGCATGTGGTAAGTACCTGAATAACGAACTTCTCCCTCTTCTTTTTGCCATTGTTCTTGTGGTTGCTATTCCTGAATTCCAATGTCAGTTTCTGGGAATTGGATTCTGATTGGCCCAACTTGTGTCAGGCTGTCTATTTGGTATAATCGGTCCAATTTGCTGTAGAAAAGCCAGTACTGGAGTGCCACCTGTGAGGATGGGAGTGGAGAGGGGAGACGGGTCGACCTCCAGAAGGCAAGGGTGGGCTTAGTGAGCACCCAGAGGTGTTTCTCAGGTCCAGGGTGATCAGCCCTCCCAGTTTTCCTGGAACTGAGTGGTTTCCTGGGAAATGAGACTTTCTATAATACAATTAAGAAAAACCCAAACAAACTGAGAAGGTTGGCCACACTCCAAGTCGGAACTTCTTTCAGTGACTCCCAGGTGGGGCCAGTATACCCAGCATGATGCACGCCGAGACTGCTTTTGAAATCTTTGGAAGGAGAGTGAAAAGATGGATGCCAAAGTTTCGGAAATGTTTTGTGATACGCCCTAGGCTGCTCCAAAGTTTTGCTCCCGCCATCACTCTTCCCTCCCGTTTCCAGCCTGAGCCTTGCTGGATGCTGACGTTCCTCAGACCCTCCAGTGCTTCCAGCCTTGGCTGTTGCTCCATACCAGGCTGTTCCCAAGGAGGTCATTTCCACATCCCAAATCCCTCCTCCACTGACTGCCCCGACACATGAAGCTCAAATTTCCTGCTTTGGCTTAATGCACTCAGGCTAAATTAAAATCCAAGTGCTTTATGGAAAGCAGAGTCCATTAAGCTGTTACGGCTCATTAGGGTCTTAACCTGGTGACTTCATTGGATTAGTCAGTCCCTGAAGCGGTGCCCCCGCCTGGGCCCCAGAGGTTATGTTTGGAGGAGAGAAAGGAAGACTGCAGTGTGAGGCTGCACTGGGGGAGAAGGAGGCTCTGGCCATGCTGAGGCAGGAGTGAGCCCAGTGCAGGGAGGCCAGAGGTGTGAAGAAAAGTACTTTCTTCCCAAGTCAGCTTTCCAGTTTGTGCCTAACTGGAGGTGCTTCCCTTTACTCAGGGAAATGGACTCACAACTGTGGACATTTTTCAAAGAGCCAGAAAGAAAAGGATAAGGCTGAGAAGGAACTGGGTTCTGGAGGCTGGTGTGGAACATTCTGAATGGGTCTCTAAGGAAAACTGACTTTTAGGATTTTATTTTTTTCTGAGCCCCAGTTCTTTTTCTCCCCAATGTCTGTGGGACCACGGCAGAAACGCCTGGTAGTCAAGGCCAGTTAAAGCACAGAGGCCTTGTTGTCAATACACCGAATGTCCAAGGCCACTCTGTGCCGAGGCTAAGATGCCATAAGCAGGTGCAAGGCCACGGGCACAACAACCCCACGGTACACTGCGCACGTGTGCTCTTCTGTAGCCAAAACATGATGGATGTAACGATTGGCACAAAACCTCCTTTGTCTCTGGAATAATATACAAGTTCCTGACCAGCTAGTGTTCTGGAGTGTGAAGAAGGGGCTGGAGGAGGGAAAGGCTAGAGCGCTCAGACGGGGCTGAGAGCTGGTACTAAGATGTAAGGCTAAGAGCTCATAAAGAGCTCAGATACAGCTACCATGTTACCCAGCCAGTGTGCTGAGGAGAAGCTCGGAGGTAGTTACCATGTGAGGCCACGGAGCCCAGCCAGTGTGCTGGGCAGGGGAGGCAGGAGAAGCTGCTGAGCCAGAGAGGCTGGAGAGGCTACCGAGGCTGGGGCGCTAAGGGAGAGCTCAGGTGCCACTACTATGTGAGGTGGTGAGTCTAGGGGGCAGTGTGTGGCTGCTCAGATAATGACTGTGGGGACAGAGACTATATTAGAGGTGTGACTATGTGGGAAAGATATTTACCAGTTGGTGTACCGCTACCTGATTGGGACACTGTTATAAAGGACTGTCTTGTCTAATGGCTTATGGCCACTGGCTTCTGCAATAAAGACTCATTCTTATACACTCACAGCCTCTCATGGCTTCTCCGTCTAAGACCCTGCGTCCTAGGAGGTCCAGCTCCAGGCAGAGGGGCTTGGACCCGACACCTGTAGCTAGTGAGAAGAGGATAAAGGAGGAACTTGGACTAAGTTCCCAACAGTTAATGTAGTAAGTAGGTTTGAGAAAGAACCTATTCTGGTGTAGTAGGAAAGAATCTAGAAGAATATATGGACTCAGAGCAACTCAGAGCAACAGTGCTGAGCAGTGCTCTTGCTGTCTCTGACAATGTCCATACATGGGGGCATTGGGACATTAAGAGGGACATAATATATCATTATATGATATATTCACTTAGTCACCTACTTACTCACTTACTCATCCACTAATGGAGCTGGTTTTAAGCAAACTCACACTTTAAGAATAAGCTTATGAGATTGAATAAGAAAGAAGAGAGAGGATCCAAATTACTAAAATCAGAAATGAAAATAGGATCATTATGGCTAATTCTACAGAAATTAAAAGGTTTAAAAGAGAGTACTATGAACAAAAGTATTCCAAAATATTGGCCAACTTGGAAAAAATGGACAGAATCCAACGAGGCTTAATTGTGAAGAAATAGAAAATCTGAGTAGATCTGTGACTAATAAGGAGAGGAAATCAGTAACCAAAACCTCCCTACAAAGAAAATCCCTGGATCTGATGGTTTCACTGGTGAATCCTATCAAACATTCAAAGAAGAACTAATACCAATTCTTCTCAAACATTCCCAAGAAATTGAAAAGAAGGAAACACTTCCTAATTCATTCTGAGGACAGCATTGCCCTGATAAGACACTGTGAGAAAAGAAAACTACAGACCAATATCCCTCTGAACACGGATGCAAAAACCTCAACAAAATACTAGCAAACTAAATTCAATAGCTTATTAAACGGAGTATACACCATGGTCCAATGGGATTCATGCCTGAGAGGCCAGGATGTTTCATCATATTAACTCGATCAGTGTAATGTACCACATTGACAGAATGAAGGAAAAACAACAACAACATGATAATCTCAATTAAAGCAAAAAAAAAAAACATCTGACAAAATTAAACATATTTTCATGATAAAAACACTCAACAAAGGAGGAATATAAAGAAACTACCTCAACATAATGAAAACCATATATGAAAAACCCATGGCTAACATCATACTCAATGGTGAAAGACAGAAAGCTACCATACATGGGGGCATTGGAACATTAAGATCTTATAGGTATTCCTATAAGATCAGGAACAAGGTTAGAGATGCATACTGTCACCACTTCTATTCAGCATACTACTGGACATTCTAGCCAGAGCAATTAGGCAAGAAAATGAAATAAAAGGCATCCAATTGGAAATAAAGAAATAAAATTATTTTGTTCCCAGATGATATGGTTTTATAGTGGAAAAGATTATACTCTAATGATACTACATAAAACTATTAGAACTAATACATTTAACAAAATAATAGGATACTTGCCCAGTTAGTTTGCTCAGTGGTTAGAGTGTTGGCCTGCAGACTGAAGGGTCTCGGGTTAGATTCCAGTCAAGGGCACATACCTCGGTTGCAGGCTCAATTCCGGTACGGACACAAGTCTCTCTCATATTGATGTTTCTCTCTCTCTCTGTCTCTCCCCCTCTCTCTAAAAAAAATCAATGGAAAAAAATATCCTCAGGTGAGGATTAACAACAACAAAAAATAGGATACAAAATTAACATGCAAAAATAAGCTGCATTTCTTCTATACAGTAGCCTTGAACAATTCTAAAAAGAAATTAAGGAAACAAATCCATTTACAATTGTATGAAAAAATAAATGAAATACTTGGGAATTAACTCAACCAAGGAAGAAAAAGACTTGTACAATAAAAACTACAAGACATTGCTGAAAGAAAATAAAGAAAACAAATAAATGGCAAGACATCCCAACTTCATGGATTGAAAGACTTAATATTGTTAAGATGTAAACACTATCCAAAATGATCTACAGATTCAATGCAATCCTATCAAAATCTCAATGATTTTTTTGAAGAAATAGAAAAATCCATCTTAAACTTTATATAAAACCTCAAGGGAATATGAATAGCCAAAACAATCTTGAAAAAGAGGAACTAAATTGGAATACTCACATGTTTTGATTTCAAAACTTACTACAAATCTACAATAACCAAAACAGTGTGGTACTGGCATAAAAAACAGACATACGGATCAATGGAATGAAATAGCTGAGAATAAAACCCTCACATATGATCGGATGTTATTTTACAAGGGTTCAAATATCATTCAGTGGGAAAGAACAGTATTTTCAACAAATAATGCTGGGAAAACTGGACATCCTCATGGAAGAGAGTCAAGTTGGTCCCTTACCATTATACCATTTACAAAAATTAACTCACAATGGATCAAAGACATAAATGTATGAGCTAAACTATAAAATTCTGAGAAGAAAGCATGAGGAGAAACCTTCATAATATTGAATTTGGCAATGATTTATTTGATGTGACACAAAATACACCCTTCAGGGTGGGGGTCCCCACTGGGGTGCCTGGCCAGTCTGGGTGAGGGGCTGAGGGCTGCTTTCAGGCTGGCGGGTGTTGACTGAAGCTCCCAACCGCTCCTTTTTTTTCTCTTTTTTTTATTTTATTCTGGGCCAGCTTTAGCTCTGGCTCTAGCTCTGAGGCTTCCGCTGCTGAAAGCTGGTATCTGGTTTGTTTGCCGTTCTATAATCGAAACAATGTATAACTTCAGCTCTGAGATCGCGGCAGGCTGAAAGCTGGTTTCTGGGCTTTTGTTTAGCTTCTACATTTGCAACATAGTACATAGTTGCTTAGAGTTGCAACTCAGAGGCCGGCAAGTCAGGCAGGGAACTTTGGAGTCTGAAGTCACTGGAGCAAGCGAGCCTCCCTGTTCGCTTCCAGCTGCCTGGCTGCCGGCCGCCATCTTGGCTGACAGTTAATTTGCATAAGGATATGCTGATTAGCCAATGGGAAGGGTAGCGGTCGTACGCCAATTACCATGTTTCTCTTTTATTAGTGTAGATGGCCAGTAATCACAGGAAAATATGCTTAACACCATCAATCATCAGAGAAGTGAAAATCAAAGCTGTGACAAGTTACAATCCCATACCCATTAGTATGACTACTGTAGAACAAAACAAAATAAAAAACAAACAGCAACAGAGAAGGCCAGTGTTGGTGAGGATGTGAGGAAATTGGAATCTTGGTGCATTGTTGGTGGGAATATAAGATGGTGCCATTGTTGTGGAAAACAATGTGGGGATTCCTCAAAATATTAAAAGTATAATTACCATATGATTCAGCAATTCCACCCAAAGAATTGAAAACAGGGCCTCAAACAGACATTTGTAGATCCATATTCATATCAGCATTACTCACAATAGCCAATATTGACAAATGGATGGATAAACAAAGCATACAATGGAATATTATTCAGCTTTAAAAGGGAAGGAAATTTTGACATGTGCCACAATATAGATGAACCTTGAGGACATTATGCTAAGCGAAATAAGCCAGTCCTAAAAAGACCAATACTGTATGATTCTATGAGGTACCTAGAGTAGTCAAACTCATGGACAGAAAGTACAATGGTGGTTGCCAGGGATTGGGGGCAGGGGAGAAGGAGGAGTTATTGTTTAATGGGTATAGAGCACATCCTTTTATTTTGTTATGTAGCTGTCGCCAGCACCGGCATCAGCTGAGGGAGCAGCTCTGGGTCTCCCCAGCTTTGGCACATACTGGGCTGGAGCTGTCGGCACGGGCACTCAGGTGTGCTTCTCTGACTCAGTGCTTCCTCTCAGGGGAGAGCAACTTCCAGCAGCTGGCCCCGAGGATCTCCCCTCTCGCCCCAAACACACAGCTCAGGATGCTTATGTGTTTGTCACCCCCTGGGTCCCAGCTGCTCCCTCCCTATAGGCCTGTCTCCCACCATTTTCCTCTGGCCTCCCTCTTGTTTTCCTTGCACAAAACTCAATTTGCATCTTGATGGAGAGGAATAATTAGAACCCTCCAGCATGAATAATTCTAGGCAAATTAATTTTTATGCCAATCAGGGAAAATTAATTGGCTTCATGTTTTATATTTTCCAGGCGGCTCCCCGGGCGGAGGCCCCACCTCTTCGCAGCCCCAGGTTCTTCTTCCCCAGCACTTTGGAGAAAATTGCTTGTTAGTTTTTGTGTGTGTTTGTTTGTTTTCAAGGCTTCCACAGGCAGCAGAGCTACCCCTCCTTTCAACTAAACGACCCATTTAACAAGCAAGATAAAGACCTCCTCAGAGCGCTACTGGCTGAGCAAATCCACTGGGTCCTTTACATCCCAATGTCTTTTTAACCTTTTATTTGCTTCTGTGGAAAACAAAAACACACAGAGAAGCACATGACAGGTAAACATGCAGCCTAATGCATTATTGTAAAGCGAATACTCATTAATCTCGTCTCCCGTTTTGTGGCTTACCCTTTCTCTTACTAACCTTGTGATGAAAGAAGTTCCTACTAGTTCTTAATTTTAATATAGTCAACTATATCAATCTTTCCCTTTATTCCTGGTTAAAAATTTATTCCAAAATGAAGCATTTATATTATATTTTATGAGAAAACTATAGTTCTTTCTCATAATTTTCCAAAATGAAAATAGCTTTATTTTTAATAATAAAAATAATGATCTTAGTATTTACTATTTAAAAGTAGGTTGAAAAATATCATGACACTTCACTCTTAATTATTTCAGATGAAAGGTAACAATACCATCATCACACCTAAGAAAATGAACAAATCTCTAATACTGTACTTATTTACATCGTCTTAATTATCCCCAAAATGTCTTTGATGAATGTAGAAGTTTTAGTTTGCCTCTTCTTAAATTTCAGTAAATGTGTACTGTATGTACTCTTTTGTGTTTGTTTCACTCATGATTATATCTGGGTGACTCACTCATTGTTGTATGTGACTGTAGTTAATTTTTGTTCACTGCTATGTTAAACTCCATTTTATGAATATGCATAAGTTATGTGTCTAGTCTTCTGCTCATAGATAATTGAGTTGTCTTCCATTCCGAAATAAAACCACTATTGAGACTCTTTTATGTCACTGTTGGTGACCACACTCAAGGGTGGAGTTGTTGCTCAGAGGGTGTCAGTGGCTGTCTTAACTGCGTTCCCAGCAGCAGTGAATGAGAGTTACAGTTACACACGTTCTTGCCGGGATTTAGTGTTGTCAGTTCCTTTAATTCCCACAAACAAGGCGTGGGCGTGCCCCAGAGAGAGCCCACCTCCGTGTTAATTTTAGAATCACATGATTTACACAGCCAGCCAGTGAGATTTTGATTGAGATTGGATTGTACCTACAGATCACTTCTGGAGAGCTGACATTTTCCCAGTATCGAGTCTCCCAATCCATGGACCAGGTATGGCCCATGCATGTGGGCCATCCTCACTCTCAGTGTGGAGTCGGGTCCATCTCTTGTTAGATTTATTCAGCACTTTGCTGATAAACCTGCTCTTTGGGGTGCAGGGCGACAGGAAAGCCCCGATTTACGGCATCTGCCAATTTCTGTGGTGCGAGTACTCCCACCGACATGGATTTCAAGATAACAGCGTGAGAGCAACGAATGTGGGTTTGGAGGAAATGCTGTGGTGGCAGGAGCCGCCAGGACGGTCCAGGACTTCCTGCCCCCTTGGTGTACACACTGCGTAGTCCTTAGGTTGTGAGGGCGTGGAATGTACCCCTGTGATTAGGTTTCCCGTGATAGTGGCACAGCTGACCTTAAGGTAGGCCGACAATCCAAGGGGCGTAACCGAGTCACAGGAGCCCTTTAAAAGCAGGGCGTGTCTCTGGCTGGTTGAAGAAGCGTGAGTTAGAGAGACTGAAAGCAGAGAAGTATGCAACCTGAGGCAGGCTCCCTGCTGATGACTTAGCAGCCTGGGAGCTGAGATGGTCCCTGCCCACAGCCTGCGGGAGGGGGGACTCAGTCTTCCAGCAGCAAGGAAGTGAATTGTGCCAGAAAAAATAAGGTGGAAGAGTCCATTGGTTGTGCTTATATGCATGTATACAAGTCCTTCGGTTGTTCTCTTCCCACCCCCTCCCCAACACTCCCCAGCCTTCCCACTGTAATTTGACAGTCTGTTCGATGCTTTACTGCCTCTGTATCTATCTTTTTGTTCATCAGGTTATAATGTTCCTTATTTTCCATAAATGAGTGAGATCATGTGGTGCTTTTCTTTTCTTTTTAAAAAAATATATTTTATTGGTTTTTTACAGAGAGGAAGGGAGAGGGATAGAGAGCCAGAAACATTGATGAGAGAGAAACATCGATCAGCTGCCTCCTGCACACCCCCCACTGGGTACGTGTCCGCAACCAAGGTACATGCCCCCGACCGGAATCAAACCCGGGACCCTTCAGTCCGCAGGCCGACGCTCTATCCACTGAGTCAAACGGGTCAGGGCAATGTGGTGTTTTTCTTTCATTGCCTGGCTTATTTCACTTAGAATAATGCTCTCCAGTTCCATCCATGCTGCTGCAAATGGTAAGAATTCCTTCTTTTTTACAGCAGCATAGTATTCCATCGTGTAGATGTACCACAGTTTTCTAATCCATTCATCTACTGATGGGCACTTAGGCTGTTTCCAGATCTTAGCTATGGTGAATTGTGCTGCTATGAACATAGGGGTGCATATATCCTTTCTGATTGGTGTTTCTGGTTTCTTGGGATATATTCCTAGAAGTGGGATCACAGGGTCAAATGGGAGTTCCATTTCCAGCTTTTTGAGGAAACTCCATACTGTCTTCCATAGTGGCTGCACCAGTCTGCATTCCCACCAGCAGTGCACAAGTGTTCCTTTTTCTCCACATCCTCTCCAGCACTTGTCATTTGTTGATTTGTTGATGATAGCCAGTCTGACAGGTGTGAGATGGTACCTCATTGTTGTTTTGATTTGCATCTCTCGGATGATTAGTGACTTTGAGCATGTTTTCATATGTCTCTTGGCTTTCTGAATGTCCTCTTTTGAAAGGTGTCTATTTAGATCCTTTGCCCATTTTTTGATTGGATTGTTTATCTTCCTTTTGTTAAGTTGTATGAGTTCCCTATAAATTTTGGAGATTAGGCCCTTATCAGATATAATGTTGGCAAATATGTTCTCCCATGTAGTGGGCTTTCTTGTTGTTTTGTTGATGGTTTCTTTTGCTGTGCAGAAACTTTTTATTTTGATGTAGTCCCATTTGTTCATTTTCTCTTTAGTTTCAACTGCCCTAGGAGCTGTATCAGTGAAGAAATTGCTTTGGCATATGTCTGAGATTTTGTTGCCTTTGGATTCTTCTAGAATTTTTATGGTTTCCTGTCGTACATTTAAGTCCTTTATCCATTTTGAGTTTATTCTTGTGTATGGTGTAAGTTGGTGGTCTAGTTTCATTTTCTTGCATATATCTGTCCAATTTTCCCAACACCACTTATTGAAGAGACTATCTTGGCTCCATTGTATGTTCTTGCCTCCTTTGTCAAATATTAATTGAGCATATTGGTTCGGGCCGATTTCTGGGTTCTCTATTCTATTCCATTGATCTATATGCCTGTTCTTGTGCCAGTACCAGGCAGTTTTGAGAACAGTGGCTTTGTAATACATCTTGATATCTGAGGAGATATATGTACTACTATGTGTAATACTTTAAACAATAAAAAAGGAGAAAAAAAAAAGGTGGAAGAGGATTTTTCTCCAGACCCTCGAGGTAAGAACTCAGCCCAGCCCACAACGTGGCGGGAGCCTGTGAGACCCTGGGCAGGGAACCCCGCCTTGCTGTGCGGTTCTGCCCCCTGAGCCATGGAATACCAGCTGCCGGCGAGTGATGGCCTGTTACAGGGCAACAGGGAACCAACACAAGCGTGTTGGGTGGGTCTTTGCGAGCAGGCACGACAGCTCCAGCATGGCTCTGGGCTACTTCCTAAATTCTTAATAGCTTTTTGTAGCTGTGATAAATGCTGTGATCTCTTACATTTAATTTCCAAGTGTCTGTTGCTAGGGTACAGAAATAAGATTGATTTTTAAATACTGACCTTGTATCTTGCATTTCTGCAAAATTCAGTGATTAGTTTTTTCTTTTGTATGGTGGACACATGTACCCATGCCATTTGTTCATAGTTTTATTTTTTCTTCCCAGACCGTATGCCTTTCACTTCTGCCCCTCTGCTGGGCCACAGCCCCAGCGCAATGTTGGTGATGGTGCCGAGCGGCCACCCTGGGCTCTCCCTGACCCTGGGGGGACATGTTTGTTCAGCTTGATGCTAGTTGTATCCTGGAGCAAATGTTAGAAGTTCCTTGTTATTTCCAGTTTGCTGAGGCTCTGGCTACAGTTTTCTGGGGTAGTCACCTTGGCCTGGAGCTTTGTTTGTGGAAATATTTTTGTTTCATTTATAAAGTTTTGGTTTCTTTAATCATCATAGAATTATTCAGATTGTCTACTTCCTGTGCGGCTGTGTGTCCCCAGCAATGTATCTGTGTCAGTAGTCCCTCTGGAAAGAAAATGACCTGCACATCACCCTGCCAGGCTCCCCTTATCCGCCTCACCCTCCTATTTCCCGAGGTTGGGAATGACGGGAAGCTCCATCCTGGACATCATTACAGCATGCGGTCTAGGGACAGACTGAAAATAGAAACTCAGTACATGTCTTTTAGTTCTCCTGTTGTCTTTTCATTCCCCAACCGTGGCGGGATTTCTCCTTTTCCTGTGTATAACACTCTATGCAGGACCCCCATACATAGCTTGAAGCTCTGTCCCCCCTGAATGAGAAAAGATGCTGCTGACAGTGCTAACTTGGCGCTCAGGCTGGGAGTCCCGTGGCTATTGAGCAAGCGGTTCTTGTCTCCTCGCTGGCATGTGGCTCCAGAACAGAGGGCCAGTGTGTTTCCTCCTGATGGCGAAGGACCCCGAGAAGGCAAGAAGCCAGTCCTGGCCGCTTCCCAGGCCCCCCGCGCTGGGCTGCGGTGCAGCCTCTCCAGCCTCCTGGCCAGTGTTTGATGGCAGAGAGACGCACCGAACAAGAGTGTGAAGAGAAAAGGGGCTCTGCGGCCCCGGAGGGAGGAGGCATTTGGACCGAACCCACTCAGTGCAGCAGTTCGTGGGCTTTGAGACCAACGAAGAAAGCCCTTCCTCCCGGGGGCGTTGCAGCTGGAAGGAGCGCAGACATGACTTCGCCCAAGCTTCTCAGTAAACAGATGGCGAGGCCACTGGGTGGAGAGGGGGCCCAGTTGTCCTTGTTCTTGCAGTGAATGAAGGCGGCTGAGACCAGCAGCTCGGTCTCCTCACAGCAGGACCGCTGGCTCTCCGCACCTGCAGGCAGTCCCCCTTCCTTCGCTCTGGCCTTTATGTTCACGTTTACGGATCCGCCCAAACGACCAGCCTTAGGCAGCGATGCCCTGTTCCTCTTCACAGCGCCCTCGCTCTTGTATTAGGGATGTGATTTCCTGGCCTTAATGTCAGGGACCGTGTGCAGTTTTCCTCTTTTTCGATCTGTGTGGTGCTTTTATGGGTGAAGAGCTAAGAGCAGGTGTGTATGTTCCCCCATGTCCCGTGTGGTTCAGGGTTCAGGATCTGGAGGAGGGGCCGCAGGCAAATGAAAGAGATGAGACAAAAGATAATTTGGAAATATTGGGGGCCAGGCGGGCAAGCCCAACTCAGGGGGAAGGACTTCCACTGGTGCCTAGGCCTCGCCAGCCTTTTATTCAATACTAGAGGCCTGGTGCCCGATATTCGTGCACTGAGGGGTGGAGGGGGGGGCGTCCCTCAGCCTGGGACCACTCAGGGGATGTCCGCTTGGCAGTCGTGGACATCCCCCAAGGGGTCCTTAGCACTGCCACGGTGGCAGGAGGCCACTGCGCTCAACAGCCATGAGCCCAGCTTCTGGCTGAGCAGCACTCCCCCTGTGGGAGTGCACTGACCACCAGGGGGCAAATGAAAGAGACGAGACAAGAGATACTTTGGAAATATTGGGGGCCAGGCGGGTAAGCCCAACTCAAGGGGAAGGACTTCCATCGGTGCCCAGGCCTCGCCAGCCTTTTACACATAAAGCCCTTATACACATAAAGCCCTTAGGCAGGCAATTGCAGTAACAGACAGACTATCTGAAAGGTCAGTAAATATTAGAAGGATTTACTCTGAGACTATATGATCAGGAAATAGCTTGAGCCCCCATTGTCTGGACTAGACAATCAGTGCATAACTCTGGCCCTTGCCATGGGTTCAAGGTTCACCAGCGTTCCGGGATCCTTGTTTGCACTTCTCTGCTAGTGAAGACAATGGGCGGCTTCCTGCAGCAGGCCAGCTGTTCTCCACCAAGTGGCTGGTTGCGTAGGTGAAATCAGGATTCTTCCAGGGCCAGATCACCTACTTAATCTCTACAGGCGTGATGGGGAATATGGATCTACAGTAAGTAAGTCAAACTCGCGACCTGCGGGCCGCATGCCTCATTTATTTGGCCTGTGTTAGCCTTTGAATTTGACATGCTTGATCTACAGATTTATTCATGGAAAGGGAGGAGGAGGTCTTAGACCAGCCGTGGGCAAACTACGGCCCGCGGGCCGAATCCGGCCCGTTTGAAATGAATAAAACTAAAAAAAAAAAAAGA